ACCTTATAATAGTACCTGTACTCTCGAGTCATCCATAGGATTATAATCGAAGAAGTCGCTGCTCTCTTGATTTCCCTCTTGCGAAGACATCCTTTGATATACAAATCTCTGAAAAAAAAGATAATTATTTTTAGGGCATAAAAATGCAACAAACACTTCGTAGGAGTGAAAGGATCCAGCCCATTCAGACAAAACAAAGATAGGGTAGGATTTGAACAGAAGATGCCGAGGCAGGACCAGACCTGTCTCTGCAATAGAGCTAGACCATAACTGATCTTTAACAAGCCCAAAGAAAGTTTTGGTACTAAGCCACGCCCACTACCAGATGCCTTTAATCTGTAGCCAAACATCGCGCCTACTAACCCAACGCAGCAATACCAGCACCAGGTTCTATAACAACAGACGTGCAAAAGGAGAATGAACATAAGAAATATGTAAGGTAAAAATCCAATCACCTTACAATCAAGTCAGGAAATCATAATGAATTTAGGTACATGGCGTATCCTCAGAGCTAACTGTTAGCTAAAAAACTGCTCTATTACTGTAGTTATTATACATATGAACCATCCCCAGATCATATTGAAGCGTTCACATATAACTGCACCCTTCCCACGTAATGTTTGTAGGAAGGAGATACCTTAGACATGGCTTAACCCGAACTTGATGAATTTTTCCTTCCGTCTCAGACTTTATTGTTACTCACCTACATAAACCGACCCAAGTAGTTCATAAGCAAAATTAAGGAATATTAGCACCGATTTTAGCCGCGTTTTCCCCGCCTGCCTCTTTTCCAAATTTTGAAGAATTTTTTATAATAACGGCCAAGAACGGCTGGAAAATAAGACTGCGATCAGCCAGCAATATAATTTCACCACGAATACACTGTATTGAGCCCATTGGAACCCGAATTACCCATCGTCACCCATTTTTTCTGTATATCTTCCTTCAAGATACAGTAATCCCATTGAAATCTTGGGAGGCGTAGCCTAGGGGGCGTACCCTGAGGAAAGTTACACCAAAACTCGGGTCACTACTTAAAGCGACAGCCGGGTGTCAAAGACCATTCAACGCTCTCAGCTCACCAGGGAGAGCTCGGTTCACTTCCAAGCTCTTCCCAACAGATCAACGTCCCCAAGCCTCTCTACATTCACCAGCGTCTCCCATCCTCCTTCCACCCGTTGGAATCAACAAGGAAACAGTGAGTATTTTCAATTTAAACATTCATTAATTCAAATACATAAATATAAATAAAATAATAAACATAAATAATAAACAAAACACCTTAAAAACCCCCGATTTCCACCAAATAGACAAACCAATCCAGTTTCTTTTTTTGTAATAACGACTTAAAAACGGCCCCCTATTGAAATTCTATGAGCAATTTTTATTCTGACTCATTAACTAGCTCGGACGAAGGACCTTATCAGTGTACCATCCCCGGTAGAAAAACAGTCAAGCGACGAACAAGAGTTCGTCTACCTAACTCTCCA